CTGCCATCACAGATGCCTTGCAGGTCTGCTGAGGCCCACAGGACTCCAGAGGAGTCAGGAGGGCAGAGCCAAGTCAATGTACAAGGTCTCCATGGTTCTTCTGTACCTCCACCAGCCCTAGGAAGTGGGAGTTCCACCTTGGCAAAGATGCCTACAAAATGACAGCTCAATTCCAAATTATATTTATTTTTCCCTACATGCAAAATGCATATCAGTTCTTATATGTTGTCTTTTTTCTCTCTGTGATGGAAACTCACCCTCCTTCAGCCAGCAAACAACAAAGGAAAATACAGAAACAGCAAACATTAAGAAAATCCTGTCCTAAAGCCTCCCCCCACACACATTTTCCCCACCACCATCTGTTTTGCAAATGGAACAAACTAAACAAGCTCCCGGTAGCTAAATTCCTTGCATCTCAGAAAGCACATGGATCCATGTGCCAATGTAAACAATCTCATGGATAGTTTACATCAAACAAGTGAACTAATTTCATCATAAACAAAGGAACAACAAATTGGTTCAAAGCCTGCCATAGTACATTCTATGGAAACATCCTCCAGCAAAGACAGAAGTAAAATAACCATAGTGGGACTTTCAACACACACCCAGCCTGGCACCCTCACCTTCAAAGCAGTGTAGGAAGTACAAACCAACTCTTCCTACAGCTCTTCTATACATTACAGAAGAACTAGCTTCCTGCTATCACTGCAGGTTTAGCTGGAAGTCTGATGCAAAAGGTAGCAAAGATCATCCATTCTAAAGATCATCCATTCTAAAGATCAATACAGGGAGAAGGGATGATGTGGCTCTGTTGGCTGGGTGCATGGGAGAACTGGTTTTGGGCTGGTTGAGAGCTGCATCAGGTGCAGGAAGCCATAGTAACTCAGTGTCCATGCACCCATTCACAGTAACGTGATGATGCAGTGATGGTGAAAAAAGAAGGGAAAGAATTGTGCTTTCTTCACATGGAGCTTCCTTTTTCCTTGGGCTCATGTGCATGTATTAAATTCTGGGACATGAACAAGCGTCCAACAACCCAACCTAAAACTGATCCTCAGCCAAAGCAAATCACCAACCTGAGAGAGTGATTTGAGAGCTGAGGAGGGAAAGATGGGCTCCCACTTCCATACAAGACTGGAACTGGCCTGGCTTTGTTTCCTGAATCTCCTTTGGGAAGAGTCCTAGAGCCACAGCTCCAGCTGGAGTCTCAGATTTGGCTAGGTGTAGGCTGAGGACATCCCCACTTAGACTAGAAGTCCCACCTGGAGTTTGATTTCAGGGGCTCAAGACTGAAGGTCCACTCATAAGCCACCAAACTCAGCTCTTTTTATAAAGAGTGTCCTAGGTGTCAATGTGTCCTGGGTGAATTCAGATGAAACCCCAAGCTTACACTGAAGAAAGAGTACTCAGATAGACTTTTCCATCAGTGGAGAAACAGATTCTAATGAAACCTGTGCAATTTTCCCAAAGAGGCAGCACTATGCAGCTTGAACTCAGCAGCTCCTGCCAGAGCCCAAAGCTGGAGATTCATCCAGTCACCCATTAACTGCCTCTAGTATCACCTTCTTTCAAGTCATCCATGCTCACAGCATGTTTCAACTACCAGGACCTATAAAAAGGTGCTTTTTGATCCAGGCTATAAAGAGTTGCAACCTAAATGCATGTCCCAGAGCATTCCCTCACCCATGTCACTGCCAGGAGTGCAAAAGGTGCCTCCCTTGGAGCAGAAGCAGCGGCTGGTGGCACTTCCCCATGGATCAGTACTGCGCCTTACAAAAGCTGCTACCAAGAAAAAAAAATCCAACTGAAAAATCCCTCCCTATAATCACTTCAAAGCACATTGATTTGGAATCAAAACCAGCAAACAGATTACTCTCAGATGACCCAGCTCCTGCAGAGACCCATGGAAATCCGCACAGCACCCCAAGGCGAGTGCAGAGACTTGGGAAACAGTCTGAATCCCAGGGGCCTTGCTAAGTATCACAGACAATTCTCTTTGGTACCAGCTACAGCAAGAGATCAGGGAAGATGACAAATTAAAGAAGGGCAATAGAAAAAAATATTTTTTTCCTCTCATTACACACTCCTGGAGGTGGCATACTGTGGAGAGCAACTGAATCAAGCAAATGCATTCCAATGTTTTAGACCTATTGATTATTTGATGGCCTCCTATTAAATCAGTAGCTTTAAAAGCTCTTATGTAAAGGACATAGCTGAAATAGATAGAGCTCAAGTTTGGATACAGTTTGTGCTGAAGTAAATAAAAAAGTAAGTCCATGGATAAGAACAGAATTAAAGTGGATACAATGAGTATACAAAAAATACTGAAATCAGCTTACAGATTTAATACATTCTGCTGACAGTAGTGGTGGGGGAGGTTGTTTATTTAATCCAGAGAGTTTTTGGGCATAGAGAAAAACAGAAGTCGGGAAGGCTAAATGTACTATTGCTAGATCCCACTGCAATTTGAGGTTTGCCTCTCCATTTCTATGGTTTGGAACACTTGCTTCTGAAGGCAAAGTTCAAATGAATATTGCCCAGGTGGCACTGTGCAGTCCCCACTTTGCTAATGTTCATGCTGGAACAGACAATAAATTGGCAAAACTAGTTTAGAGGGCAGTCAGGGGAGGGATGGAAGCAGCACACGGTTGCCTTGGAGTTACCCAGGTTTATCTACACATCATGCTGTACGCTCCCTGGTTCTCATAATTAAAGTGTCTAGACAGGAGATGATGCTGGTGAAGTAGCAAGTAAAAAAGGTTTTGCAGAGCTTTTCACAGGAGTCCAGCTAAAGCACAATGACAGACACAAGAGATGCAGAACCCAATTGAGATTGGAGCAAATTTTGACCTGAGTAACGGTCCTTTCATAACCCTTCATGTCCCAAAAGAACTGCTAAATCAAAGCACTCAGGAGGGCTCAGATCTTTTGAACCAGCATCAGATTAGAGGTTTCTGCAAAAGTAATTCCAGCTGTATCTCAGCTTCATCCAGATGCTGGCATTTAGCAGCCTCAACTTGTGTAAACCAGCCTCACTCCACTGAAGTCAACAACAATTGACACCAGCTGAGAATCTGGCTCTCCGTGTGGTTTAAATATAGTCTAAAGAAAGAGAACTTACAGAAGGATTGCCCAATTCCTCATGTCCATTTCCCCCTTGGGCTAGGACTGAACAAGATTATTTTTTTCTTTATAATTTAGCTCCAGTTATTTTTAACAATAACATTATGAGCTCGCATTTATTATAGCACCTTCCACCCTCCAGGAGCTAGGCTGCCTTTCAGGCTTTACTAAGAATCACAGAGAGAGATGGGCACAGCACCAGGATGAAGCCACCTCTGGATGCAAGAAAGCAGATGCTCAGCATGCACAGAAGCCTGGCCACAAACACGAAAAATCATTGGGGGTACTAAGACAATTCAGCTTCAGCACTGCAAGAGTGAGCCCCAGACATTTGCACAAAGAAGCAATCCAAGGAATAGTTTCAAATCCTTCCTTAAGCTGGCCATGAGATGGACATGATGTTTTTACAGCCATGCAGGGTGTCACGATGGCCCTACATGGCACAGCACAAGGCCAGATTACCACACATACTGCTGGGGAAAGGCAAGCACGAGTGACCTTTGAGAAAGAAAGAGTAGCTGGATCACTCCAACTGTGACAAACCAGGGGTCTTTGGCGTTCCCGCATCTCTTTGGCTCAAATGTCCCTGCAAAATCAAGGGATAAGGCTCTGAAGACAGTTACATGGTAATCTCTGTGTGCAGAATTACCAGGCTGTGATTCTCCAAAACTCCAGCCACCTCATAGTGACACGTATATTGACTGCTAACCAAGGCAGGGAGGTCACTGGTTTCAGAAAGCTCAAAGGTCTGACATCCCTGACCAACTCTTTTTCAATATGGGAGAGAAACTCAGAAAGAAGAACAGCAAAAATAAGTTGTCTCATGGGCTTAAATCCGTGTTGTTGTGCTAGAGGTAGTAACACCAAGTTTTGTCAACAGTGCTATTGTCCATTTTATCTGGAATCAGACTAGGAAACTAGTCAGATGCTACCGTGTGGGAACAGCTCGGAAACAATATCTTCCAGACAGTCCCCCTCAAGCTACCACAAAGCAATGGAAATGCACCAAGTAAAAGCTGTGGCCACCACTCAAATGCTCCATCAAAGACATGAACTCTGGCCTCTTTAAAAAAAAAGAAAAAGAAAAAAAGAGAAAAAGAAAACCAATACAAACAAAAAAAACCCCACCCCAGATCCATTAATGAAAAATAAAGCACAAGGCAAGGGGCGATGAAAACAAATAAAACTAAGGCTGTAAAATGCCTGGCATGTAAGATGTGCTGAAACTTGCTGCTGACAGCAGCTTGAGCAGACATTCACATGCAGCCGTTCATAAGATGCACAGTAATTACCTTCTCTAGGAGGCTGTATTATGATGATTTCTTTAAGCAGAGCACAATATCTCTAGCAACAGGATATAATTACAGCAAAGAATATGCATCTTAACCTCTTTCCACCCCCCCAGCCGGCTCAGGGAAAGGATCTGGGAGCCGGGGACTCTGTGGGGAGGGTGAAAGTAGTTTACCCTGTGCTACTGCCCTCGTTACCTAGAGCCAGGCACGCTTTTGATGGGAGCTTGTGGTGGCATTGCTCTCGCAGGAACCTGATCTCTCTCCCCCTCAGCTTAGGGTGAAACACTCCCAACACTGCAGGACATTGACAGAGCTGGCAGCAGCCACCAGGCCACCGAAGGAGTTCGGCACAGTCAGCCTGCTCTGGGCTGACACCTCGGTGGTAAATAAATAAATACCAAAAACAAACAGGCGAGGGAATGACTCAGAACTGGAACATGCTGGCAACACCGTGAGGCGGCAGGACTTCCCACCTCCAGACTGGGACCGTGATGGCCCCAAATACCCCACTGCAGAGTCCCTCTGGAGCTAGTGTGCCCTGAAAAAAAAAAAGCCAAGGCTCCCAGATAAGGGCTGGCACCATACCCAGCATGGGTCATGTTATCTTCAGAGGATGGATGCCACTTCCTGGTGATTACTTGGCTCACCTGCAGCAGCCGAAATGCCAGAGTTGGTCCTGTCAGCTGGCTGTTCTGCTCCACTTCCACAGCCCTCCTGCAGAGAGGCACAGGAAATCCTATTGCTACAGCTGTTGGATTAACTCATATAGAGTCCAGAAGTAGAGAAAGATCCAGGCAATGACAGAGCCCCAACATCTGTGCGCTCAGTTGAGGGACTTCCAGTACTCACTTCTCTGAATTCCTCTGGAATGGTGAAGTGGCCAACACAGTCAATGGTGGTCAGTGAGATTTGCTGTGCTGGAGAGGAGCTCAGTGTGGTGAAGTCCCATTTGCAGACCAGCAGGTAGGAGGCTGTGAGCACCACAACATGCTTCTTTTAATTATTTCAGTCATCAGTCCTAGGGGGAAAAAGCACAGGGTTAACCCCCATCCCCATGCCTCTCCCCCCAAAACCAAAAATGCAGTGCTAGGCCCTAGGCTCTGTTGATGCTAGCCCACACACTGATTATCTGAAAATCAACCTTGGAGCTCAACCTTCATTTTCCAAAAGCAGCCAAAGTAGCAGTGCTCAGTGGCTTGGGCTCTCCATGCCAGATACTGAGAGCAGAGACTCTGGGAAGCTTTCAGAGCCCTTTTTTGAGATCCAGACAGGTTTCCATTCCAAGGTAGAGGATGTTTTTTGTAGATGAGAGACTGGAAATCTTCTTTTTCTAATATGAAACCACTAAAAGAATAGCCAACATTTTCCTCACTGGTCTGGAAATTGCGTTACAAGTGAGAGTCTGCCTGGTGCAAGTTTGCAAGCTGTGATATCAGTAGGAGAATTTCCCTTCCCATTTACAAAAGGAAATGAATTTTGCATCCACCGGATGGCAGTGTGGGGAGAGCAATCATATTAGTCATAGTATTATTGTTTTTCTTTTAAGCCTCTCAAAAGTCATTGCAGACACAGCAATTCATTGCTTATTAAGATCTCCCTGCATTACAACCAGGGGAAAAAAAAAAAACTAGGTCTCATTAATAAACCATCTTCTAGGATCTCTATAAGAAGGCAGACTTTGATTAGCCAAGATCATTCGATAAATGATTTGGCTTGTCTGACAGAGGGAAATGATTGATTGGAAAGAGTATGCTTTAAATAGTTCACTCTTTATAATAAAAGCAAAGGCTTTAGATAGAAATACAAATAGTAAAAAGGCAGTATTTCTGCTTCAAGAGAAGATAACTCCATGTACCAGGCTGTCAGGTGCTGGCAGCACACACAGAGTTCACTTCAGAGTTCTGACTACAGGACTGAATTATTCTAAGCCTAAAACGGCAACATCTTCTGCAGTTTGTCTTGCCAAAACATTTCAATGAACAGGAAAGTCTGTTCTACTCTCAGACATGGCAGGACATTAGTTATCAATCGCAGAGAGCAAATCTTTGTTTTCTGCATAGCATAAAACTCTGAGTAATGAAGCTGAATGTTAAAATCCAGGTAAATAATACTACTGAAATCTGTCGTATCACCAAGACGATTGTCCCAGAGTAATAAACAGTGGAAAACCAGGAGAAAACAGAGCTTGGGAAGCCAAGCCACTGGCCATCCTATTTCCACTAGAGGGCAATAGCAAACAAGAGACAAAAAGCTGGAGGCAAGAAGTCGATTGCGAGGAACTGGTAAAAAATGGTCAAGTTGTGTTTCCCGAGGCAGGAGCCGCAGCTGCCCGGTGCTCCCCGGTCCCGGCCCCGGTGGCGCCGCACCTCTCCCGCAGCCCCCGGCTCGCCGGCCCCGGAGCAGCAGCAGGTACCGCCTGCCCTCGGCTCCGGGCTTGGGTTTGTCGAATTAGTCAGTGGAAAATATTCACAGATGGTTTTGGTCTAGAAAACAGCCACAAGTAAAAGAAGTACTTTCAGCGGGATGCATTTAAGCATCATCAAATAGGTGGTCAGATGCCGCTCTGAGCAGATGATTGATCCAACCTAACACATCATTCAGTTCCAGATGTTGTAGAGAGCAAGAAAGGGAGATGGAAAGACTTCAACAGCCTGATCTATTTGGGTTACTGAATGGAAGGTTTGGAGGTGATTTGATCTAAATCTACTAACGTTTCTCAGTGGGGGACTGTCAGAGATCCTAAAGGACTTCATGAATCTAGCAAACAAAACTATAACTAGATACAGAAGCTCAAAGTAAAAGCTGGATAAAATCAAACTGGAAATAGTACAAACTTTAAAAAATTAAAACTTGCAATAATGCCATTAGTTTATCAGTTGAACAAATCATGTAGGGGAGAGTTTTATTCTCCACCCTTGGAGCTCTTAAAACAAGATTTGCTGTCTTCCTGAAATATGTGCTGTAGCTTAACAGTGAATTATTAGCCTTGATGCAGACATTACAGGTACAGATCTCATCTGAATGAGGCAGAAGGTGAGACTAGATTAGCAGCATGGTCTCTTCGTGTAATTATAGTCTACAAATATCAAGGTTCTTGTTGCAGAGAATTGTCTTTCAGCTGCAGGGGCTGACTCCCACCTTTGCAAACCCACTTCACAGTCTGTGTCGACACAGCTGACAGCAGCTCCAAGAGCTCTGTCACACAAGGAGCAAAGGTGGCCTTCAGCTAATGGGGCAGCTTCTGTTGCCCAGTCATTACCTGTCTCTACAAAGAAAAAGAACATGAGCTTAAATAAACTGTTCTCTACACCAAACTGTCCAGGGACAACACAGGCCATTCTGTACCCCAGTTGAAGCATTCATTCCTGGGCTGTGGTACCAGCTGAGAAGAGACTTTGGCAAGAACTAGTACGTGAGAGTGACAGAGGTGTGGGCCAGTTTCAGTGTTTTGAGCCTCCAGAGATGTTAGTCACACAAAGGTCATGTAGCACAGAAAGTAACGTCTGCAATGCCTACCCTTTCTCTTCCCAGTTCCAAGCCACAGAGATCTTCGGTGAAAGGAAAGGAATTTATAGTGGATACAGCTCCCTGGGAGTTGCATGTTGCTCAGACAGCCAGAGACCTGTGATTCAAGTATCCAAAAGCATCATACCACTGAAACACCCCCAGCCTCAGCCCAGCCCTTGTGAGCTTCAGGACAGACAACACCAACATAGAAAAAGCTCAGCCTTTCCAACCAGAGACATGGAACAGTGCTATTGCAGCTGTAATCTGCTTCCAACCTACACCAAATGCCACCAAGTGCTTTACAGGACTGGACAGTTATAAAACGAACAGAATGTGATGACAGCACATTGGCCTTTACAATAACTTGGGGGCATTTCTCTTGGAAGCAGCATGGGGAGGTGCAGGACTGGGGCAGGTAGAGAGCAGAAGCTCACAGCCCTCAGTGCTCACACTCCTCTGTGTAGGAAGGGCTTGCAGAGGTTACTGAGTGTTTTTTCAAGGCTGAAAGGTGTTGCCAGTGAGCTGAGGGAACACGCTGGGACACAGCATAGACGTGGCACACTATGCCAGGCAGAGGACAATGGGAGACTCTGCCAAAATGGGAGTGCTGTCCCAGGGCACTACACCTGCCAGGCCTCCAAAGGTCTGCCTGCCTGCCGCAGCTCCACATGCTGGGCTGACGGCTCAGTTTTCTAAATCGGAAAAAAAAGAAATCCCACCAAATTAAAGCAAGAGGATTTGAAGTGTAAAGGATAGTAATATATTTGGACATTCCACTATTTTGTAGGACAGGTTACAACTGGTCCGACTTCCTCCAAGCATTGCCCCCGTGACTTGTCTGCAGCAAGTCTCCCCCTCTTCTTCCCCCCACTAACCTCAGTCACCTGCACAAACTCATATGTGTCACCTCTGCTTTCTTCAGGCTTCAATTCTCATGTGCCTGTTCACGTGTGACCTGTCTAATATCTGCAGCCTACCCTTGATAAGGACACCACATCTGAGAGGCATTACTGTTTACCCAAAGTGATAAGCAATTAAACCCCATTTCTTAGGATGAGCCTGCAACACCGTTCTTCTTCTGGCATATAACTAGAGCAGCTCTACAAATCAACAGTTTGAACCACTTTCCTGGGCAGGTCATCCCCAAAGCAGGGGGTCTGGAGTGACTGTGGCTCTCCCCCTTCCCAGAGCCAAGGGCATATGGGATGCACCTTTATTCTCACTCACACATGTGAAGGAAACACTGTGATCTCAACAGCAAATGCTGGAACCAAGACCGTGCTCCTGCACTTCCTACTCCATTTGCAGAACAGGAAAGAGGAGGTTATGGGGCAGCAAGTCTGATACAGGCAGGTGTCAGACTAACACAGGTAGAGGGAGGAAAGTGAAAGCATCTAGGTGGGAGTGGACAGCCAAATTACAGGTCAAAGGGTTAAGAGAAGAGAGCCTATTATTCATCACTACCACTGTGTTCCAGGCATAAGAAACATTTGGAGCTAATTAGAGGGAGAGCAGAACAATGCACTTGAGAAAGCGACAATGCCCTGGTTCAACCCAGCAGATGAGCTCCGTGCTCAGAGCAAATTGGTCTAAAATGAGTATTGCTCCATCTCAAAACCAGAAAGGTGTGACCTACTTCTCTGACCCTGGCATCAGCTGGCAGGAAGAGAATTGACAGGCTGATTCTTTGTTCCCATCATTGGAGATGAGAACAGTTCCATTTCAGAAATAAAAGCCAACAGCTTTTACAGCTGATTTTGGGTAACTAATAACACAGAACTGCACTCATTAACTAAGCTGGCTTGTATTGTAAAGAGCTCCAAGGCAACAACTAAATGGACTTGATATTAACAGCAATGATAGTGTCAATGTGACTTAGAAGCCTTAACTAATAGCCTTAACATTTTCAAATGTAAAGTATATTCAATTTTTAAAACTATCTCAATGGACTTTTGTGAGAATTTTGCTCCAAAATAGTAACTGAGACTACAGCACCTGAATGCTATGCTCTGTGCAAGACCTGGGAAGTACTTGGGTCCCTCTCAGAGGAACATTCCCAGAGAATTGTAGTTACTGAACTGTAGTTCTGGAAGTTATTTTCCAAGGACACTTTGAAGGTGCAGTGTCAAATTAGCTTGATTTTATTGTGAGTTGATTATTTGGGTATCGTCTTCTAGTGAAGAAATGCTCACTCAGCTTGCTGATCACAGGGCTCATGCCCTGAAGAAGAAATAAATACTTCAAGTTTTGATGTCTGGGGAAGGAGGGAATATTTTGAAGTTTCAAAAGAAACTCATTTATCAGTGGACTTTTGGGCTACAAACTATGTATTTTTAGGTATCCTGATTCCCCAGTGTTTGCCAACAAAGAAATCTCAAAAGCTCCTGGGTCCCAGAGTATCTCAGTGAAATTTGCATTGGCACTACTCCTATCTGGTAGTCACTGGACAGGCAGCTGTAAAAATTTCTGTCTATAGGCAGAAATTAAGGCATTGATATCTAACAAA